CGTGTCCGTGAATTCGAACCCAGCCGGAAACTATGGATCAGAGCAGGAATTCCCGGAGAAGAATTGTTCCTGCGGATTGGGTGTCTGTTTGATTCTCACATCAAACACCCAGAAGAATCCAGGTCGTAAATTCTACAAATGCCCCACTAAAGAGGTTCTTTAAGTCTATTGCTTTACTTTGTTGTTATGAAAATTGGGTTCAACTTCATGTTAGTCATAATGCTCCCTAGGTGTTCGATAAAATGCATGTGAGAGTAGTTTCATTTGTGATAAGATGTTTATTTCTAGATGATTATGGTTGAATCATAAGCTACATTTTTCAACAGGAAAACGGAGGTTGTGGATTTTTCCAGTGGTGTGATGCGGTTCACTCTTCTGGAACTCATAGTTATGGAAGCACTAACGATTCCAAGTTCCCGGATCTTCAGTGTCCCTGTGGTGCTGGATTCGCTCGTGTTCTCACTGCAAAAACAGGGGAAAACATTGGCCGACAGTTTTATCGCTGTCCTGTTTTCGAGGTATGTTTATTATCAATAGTCTCCATGGTTGCTGATATCTATTATTGACTTAACCACGACCTTGCAATCTCTTGTACATTTTGTGGTTTGATGAGTGTTTCCTGATGGAGATCCATATTATCCACCCTCTTGTAACTGGTTATATGAATGACTCTTGTTTTCCGTTTTATGTAAGAGGGGATTATGGTTAATCAAGTTTGCTTGTTAGAAGGTTTACTTGGCTTGCTTATTTTGCAACAAGTATCCAGATATCCATCAGCAAGCAATTCTGTGCACACTTGAAAAGTTTATTAAATAAGCTGTAAATGGCAAACCCTTATGGTAAATACATCAGAACAGAAATATAGTGCCAACTTGGCATACAACTATGTTAGCAAAAAGAAAACCAGTTTGTAGATTCTAGGCATACAACTAGTGCCAAGAACCATCACCGGAAAAGTGAAAAGCTGTAATCTAGTACTTCTTAAGATCAATTGTCTGTGTAATAACATGGCTTCCTCTTTATGGCAGGGATCTTGTGGTTTCTTCAAGTGGTGCAATGACGATGTAGTCCACTCTCCTACAATGCAAAATTTGGCCAAATCCAACTACTTAGATGGCTTAGATACCGGAGGATATCAGATTGCGAAAACAACTGGCACACCTTGTTATAAATGTGGAAAGGAAGGACACTGGGCAAGAGACTGCACTGTTCAATCTGGTAATCCATTGTCTGAAACGGGATTTGTAAAGTCTACATCTGCCGCTGGAGATTGTTACAAATGTGGAAAGCAAGGGCACTGGGCGAGAGACTGCACTGCTCAATCTGGTAATCTGATCTCTGAAACAGGTCAAGTGAAGTCTTCTTCTTCGGTTGGAGAGTGTTACAAATGTGGAAAGCAAGGACACTGGGCGAGGGACTGCACTGCTCAATCTGGTAATCTGGTCTCTGAAACAGGTCAAGTGAAGTCTTCGTCTTCGGTTGGAGAGTGTTACAAATGCGGGAAGCATGGACATTGGGCAAGAGACTGCACTGTGCAATCAGGTAATCAACAGTTTCAATCAGGGCAAGGGAAGCCTGCCTCTTCAGGTGGAGATTGTTACAAATGCGGAAAACCCGGACATTGGGCAAGAGATTGCACTTCAGCTGCTCAATCCGTAAACACTCAAGGCAAAAGACAGAGGCAGTACTAGACTACTAGGCCAGGCTTTCTACTTATTGATAATTACTAGGAAAACTCCAAAGTTCAGAGTTAAATACACTTTCAGATCATCAAAAACTTGGTTTTTAAAGAGTCCATATTCTGCCTTCATTAACATATGTTTACACTTGATCTCTAATTGCTGCATCCCAAAAACAAACCATTGCGTATAAGATGATGTCGATTCCAAGCAACAAATAAAGACACTGAAAGTGAAAAAAAAATCTCCATATGAAACTTAGCGCAAAAACATGAGATGAATATTTAAGCCGTCAAATTTTTTAAATATCCGAATGTGTTTTATATCCCTAAAACCAAAAAACCGAATTAACCGACCTGAACAAGATTTATGAAATACATCCCGAATGAAATTGCAAAAAGCTTCTATGTGCTTGGTTGATAGGCAACCTTGAGATGGTAGATCTTAATAACAAAACCTGTTTCCTTAACAAATTAAAATTGGATGATTGATTCATTTTTTCACCATCCTCCTAGGTCGTGGCTCAAATACTAATCATTGTCTCAAATACATGAATGATATAATGGAGGCAACAAACACCAAATCTAAAAGGGTTAAACTGAAGAAAAGTTGGCTTAACAATATAGCTAGAGAACACATAGCAACATGAAGAATCCTCTAAACCACTCCTGACAAAATCTGACCTTTTATCATCAGGCAGATTTCTTTTTTTACAACTGCAGATAACATGAATGTCCAACACAAAGAGTCCAATTTCGTTTTCATATGCTCAGGTAATTCTAACATTGCAAGGACAGAAGAATTCAACCATTGCCATTACAATTCATTCTCTATTCACAATCACATGTGTTCTTAACTCAGCATTGATTCTATTCTTATTTCTCTGATAAAATTTTTTGAATTTGGTGGTTGTTATTCAATTCTTGTTTCGTTTAATGTACTAAAACTTTTGCATATTGATGCAATTAGAGATCAAGTGTAAACATATGTTAATATAAAAATATCAACAAAAATTCATACAAGGACAAAAGTATAGGTCTCTTGTGCATTTGTTTTCCCATTCAAGAAACTAACTCAAAAATTGATATACACATTCAAGGATTAACATCTAATATATATATACTAATTACTAGCAAAACTCAATAAATAAAAGAGTTAAATAAGGCCAGATCCATCAAAACCCTGAGCTACAAACTTATTACAGAGTTCATATTCTCCCTTCAATCTCAGCATCAAACCCTGAGCTACTACCCTCGGTTTCTTCCAGCGATTTACAACCCGATTCCCGAGTAAATAATGCTACTCAAAAGTTGATACATGCTCAATGATCAACATGCTAAAAATATAATACTAATTACTAACAGAACACAAAAGATAAGAAAGAGTTGAATAAGGTCAGATTATCAACACCATCAGCTACTTAGTCATTCAGATCGCTTCTACTGATCTATTTCCTCATATGAAAGGCCCCTCAGTTTCTTCGTGCGATTCACAACACGTTTCCACAGACTATCGTCCATCGACTTTTTCAATTTCCAGCTCGGCCAATCGAGCCATATACTTCTGAAACATGACAAGACATTACAGATCAAGCATAAATATATATCTATGTCCTTCCAAAATCAACAAACTTTAGATGCATTATTAACACCAGTTCTTTCTTATTATTACCTGCAATAGATTGTCCAACAGCTTTTTCATTGCTTCAACCTGAGCCAGGTTAGCTCTAGTCGTCTGATAAATTAGAAAGCATTACAGATCAACCATAACTATGTCTTTCCAAAACCAAACAACTTTTGAAATGCTTCTTGCTTACCTCTTTTAAGGACTTGGCTTCGGCCAACAAGGACTTGGTTTCGGCCAACGCCTGAAAAATCATATGAAGAAATTAGAAATCAAGTTTATCAGCATCCCTTTCAGTAATCACCATTTCTTGTTTACCTGTTCGGCTTCTTTAACTAAGCTTTTACGATTAGGGGTTAAAGCATCATCTGAAAGAAAGACAATAACACACATTGATCAAGCTTCTTTCCTTCAAAACGCAAATCAAAAATCATAAACTAATCGATGAACCGAAGATCAATCCTTTTACAGCCACATACGTGTGTAGAATCCAAGAGCAAATATTGCTGATACCTTGAAACCTCTCCAAGATACTCCATTCTGCAAAATTTTCCTACTAAATTTTCAGTAAGATGAAGCTAAAAAATATGAATACAAAAGAAAAAAAGTGTTACCTTTAAGATAGAGGATACCTTTAAGATGTTGTTGCTTTTCTGAAAAAAAACAAAAAATTTAGGGATTTTTCTTACTCTTCAATAACATAAATGGGAATTGGAGTAGACCAAAACAAAACAACATTCTCCATAGATTTCATCATGTACAGGAAAGAAAAAAGCATCAATTTCGCATGGATTTAGAAGAAAAGCAGGAACCTTTAAGCATTAGCGATCTTATGGGTCTAAAGGACTCTGCAAAAAAACGATTCTAGCAACAAACAAAATCGAACAGCAGAAACCCTAACAACAAAATCGAACAGAACCAAACAGAGAAACGGCATTGAGTATAGAAAGAAAACAGAGCAGACCTAGAAACCGTGTGCGAGATTTGTCGTCTGTGTCGATTTTGAGAAGACAGTGAGTGAAAACGCAAAGCACAATGTCTGTCTTCTTCACTCTTTCAGTACCGTTAATGGGTGAAACGCTGGAATCAAAAGGGGAAGAAAGTGAAAAGAGCCTTTTTCAAGTTTCAAACCGGAAAACCAAATGGTCCGGTTTATTTTCTTGATTATTTCACTTCGATTTAATTTGGTTTGGTTTATCTCTTTCTTAAACAAGTCTTAAAGGTAATTGCAATTTCATAGTCTAAATCTCATATTCTTATTTATCTTGTTTTTTGGTGGTTGTAACTCAAATTCTTGTTTCTTCTCATGTACCAAAACTCTTGCATATTGATGCAATTAGAGATCAAGTCTAAACATATATATAGTCATGTGATCTCTTGTGTATTTGTTGCCCGCCCATGTGCCGAAATATTTTGTCATTTTTGGTAGCTAATTAGTGTTACTCAAAAGTTGATACGCATTCAAGGAGTATAACATGTAAGATATAATCACTAGCAAAACTCAAAAGTTAAAGAGTTAAACAAGGCAAGATCCATCAAAGCCCTGAGGTTTCTTATTTATTAAAGAGTTTCATATTCTGCCTTCAATTTCTGCACCAAATTCAGAATCGTTTATTCTGATCCATTTCCTCATTAGTAACTCCCCACAGTTTCTTCCATCGATTCATAACCCGATTCCGTCGTATATCGTCCCTCGGCTTTTTTAGTCTCTTCCAACTCAACCACTCGAGCCTTACAGAACTAAAACATGAGAAGACTTTACATGTCAATCACATGTCTTATCAAAATCAAACAAATTCAGATGCGTAAAAACCATTTCTTGCTTACTACCTCTTTTAAGGAACTGGCTTCGGCCACCAACTGAAACAGGAGAAAAAATTCAGATGGAGACATTAAAAATCAACTGTAACTACATCCTTTCAAAAATAAACACAGTTATATGCATACCTGTTTTGCCTCTTTAATCTTGCTTTTGCAATCAGCCAAAACCTGAAACCGTAGAAGAAAAATGAGATGGTTACATAAGAAATCAAATGTAAATGTATCCTTTCAAAAACATTATTTCATGCTTACCTTACTGGATTCTTTACACATGCTTGTTAAATCAGGTGTTAAAGCAACATCTTAAAAAAAAAGACAATAAATAAACACATTGATCAAGCTTCTTTCCCATCAAAAAGCAAACTAATCGATAACTAACCGAAGATCATTTAAAGCAACATACGTGTGTAGAATCCAAGACCAAAGATTGCTGATCCCTTGAAACCTTTCCACAATACTCCATTCTGCAAATTTTTCCTTTATATCAAGATCAAGCGAGAAAAGATGTATACAAGAACAAAAGAAGTAGAAAAAGTATTTACCTTTAAGAGAAAATTTCCCAATGTTCCCATGATATTGTTCTCGAGTCTCGACCCTCTGAAATTAGAAACTTTTTTTAGGGATTTTCTTATTCTTTCACTATACATGGTAATGGATTAATCAAAAACAAACAACACAACAACAAATATCTCCATGGATTTCAGATACAGGTACGTAACTAAAAGATTACAAATTCGTTCTCAAGATATAAGACCATGAGCATCACTTTGGTATGGATTATCATCTCTTAGGAGAAAAGCAGGAACCTTTAAAGCATTAGCGACCCTAACAACAAAATCGAACAGCAAGAAACCTCAAGATATAAGAAAGAAAAAAAAAAAGAGCATCACTTCGCTGGATGGGTTTATCTCTTAGGGGAAAAAGCACGAGTCTTTAAGCATTTACCTATTAAATGGGTCTAAAGGGCTCTTCTGGAAACGACCCGTAACACAAATCCTAACAGCAAAATCGAACACAAACCCTAACAACAAAATTCGTTCAACAGAAACCTTAACAACAAAATCGAACAAAGAGGGAACATAAACAAACAGAGAAGCATTGACATTTGACTGTTGTAGAAAGAAAACAGAGCAGAGCACAAAATCGAACTGAAAGAAGAGAAGAAAACAGAGAAAGGGCAATGAGTCTAGAAAGAAAACCTCGAAATCCTGAGCGAGATTTGACGATTTCGGTACTGAGAGGAGAGTGAGTGCAAGCAAATGTCTTTTCTTTCTCCGCACCGTTATGGTGAAGCTGGAAACAAATGAGAAAGAAAGGGGTGAAAGAAACCCGGTTTAATTCGGCATTTCGGTTTGGTCGAGGGGTTAGACCTGTTGGACCGTTTTTGTTGGAAAGGCCCAGGAAGTTTGAGAAGCCTAGAATAATATAATTTATTTTTAGGGTAAATGGTTAAAAAAAGAGATTTTTGCCAAAACATTTTGAAAAATGCCATTTTACTCTAAACCTTCAAAAATTTGCAACGATTCACTATTCACAAAATGATAAAAATATTTATATCCTTAATTATAATTTCATTGTATACATTTTCGTCCACGATGTTATCGTTTTTGTCTACCATTACCATCTATGTTCACAACCATCGTCTCCGTCATTGTCTACCGTTGTCTCCGTCAACACCGACCGTCTTTAGTTTGGTCCACCACCATATCCGTCTCTATTTTGTCCACAACCGCCTTTTCTGTCACGGGTTTTGTTCACAATCGCTTTTATCCCCACCGTTGTCCTTTTTTTGGCCACCGCTGTTTCTGCTTCCGTCTCTTTTTTTTGTCCACAATCACCGACACCGTCTTTTTTCACAGTCATCGTCTTTGACGATTACCATCTCTGTTTTTTTCCACCGTCTTCTTCTTCATCAAAAGAGAGAGAGTTAGAGAGATCCAGCGAGAACTCCGGCGAGAGAGATCCAAAAAGATAAAGAGATCCAACGAATTTTGAGAGATATTAAAAAGACAAAATAATCATTTTACCTTTTGTGAAAAGTGATTTATGCCATTTTTAGGGTTTTTGAAATAATGGGTTTTTTTGAACATTTTTAAGAAAAATGACAATTTTGGCAATTTTCTGTAAAAAAACATGTGTTCATTATATAACACTCTTTTAAAAATCATTTTACTCTTAAAAAAAACCAAATAAAACTTTAAAAATAAATAACTATTTTATTTACGGCAAAATAGCTATTTTATTTTAATGTATTGGTTTAAAATCTTAGTTATCAATTTTGTTAAAAAAATTAATCCATCAACGGAAGATGACCTATATACCACACATTCATATGACA